AAATATCAATATAGAAATTGCTAGGCATATCTCTCTGTGCAGTAAGCATTTGAGCATGTTGCTGGGAAAGAAGAATGAAAAAGTAAATTGAATTTATATCCGAATTAGATATTTACTTTTATTTCTTCAATCTTGTAGGGGGATAAAACAAATTTTTAACATTTTCGGGGACTAAAACTATATATATATATATATATATATATATATATATATTCCTTAAGATCTTGATGATTACTAATGAATACAAATATTTCATCTCTATTATTCTAAATTCTCTCTAAATTCTTCAACTTCTTCTACTTCTATTTCTCTCTTTCTTTAATCAATCTTAGTACGATAACATAAAGTTCACATGAGAAGAAAATTTGGTACACTTATAAAAAATTTAGAAAGCATATTATTATAAGGTTCGAAATTAGGGTGGGAAGATTTAAAATTTGTACTAATATAAGCTGAAGTGGCTTAATTGTTACTTATTTACACGAGCAAAAAGCAGAATATGCTTAACAATCAGAAGCTACGAAATTAGGCTCTATTTACCTCGCGGGTTCGAATTATGTGGATTTGAACTTTTAGATTTGAATCTATATATGAGTTTTTGTAGTTTGAACATGCGTTTGATAGTGTAAGGTCTAAATAGAGAATAAAAAATAGTTGGCGGGAACTTTTGGGTTGAGACTTGAATAGTAAAATGGGTTGAAAACTTAAGAACGGCGAGGTAAAATTGCATTCAATCTTCAATTTTGGATTCAAATGAACGCTAAACTCAAATTTAAGTTCAATATGTTATGTAACGAAGTAATTGGGTTGGAAACCAAAAATTGGTTCAAACCCATTGAAACCCTCCAAACAAATAGGAACTAATTAGTAGGAGCAAATGACGATTAAAATTTGTAGTTACATTTGTTATTGCTTGTTTGGCCCATGATATTCAAAAGGAAAAAAAAAAAAGATGAAATCTATAAAACTAGCTGTACAAATTATATTGATCATGCGCACGTACTAGAAAATATAAATTAAATTTTGAGTGTTTTTTCATGTACTAATGTAAATTACAGTTTTTTTTTTCTCCCAAAACTTGGGATGCTGATTAGAAAATAACCCCGATGACAAGCTTAGCTGTAAACCTTAATTTGTTAGTCTATTATTCCTCCTAAAAGCTTAAGATATTAGGAGCTCAACAATAATATTATTTTAATTAAAACACTTTTAATACAGTACTATAATTGATGTGCTAATAATAAATTTGATATTGGAATGCAAAAAAACACTCTCCAATGTAGTGGCATTTGTTATGCAAAGTTTACCATATGTTAAATTTTGTGGTAAATTTGCCACCAAATATAGCATATATATAGCAAATTTGTTACTTAATTGCTATTGGATATGTTTACCTTTTCAATTAATCATTACAATATTTACATTTTTAAATTATTTTAAAATTTAAAATTTATTTTTGTAATTTCTAAGGATTAATAATTATGGTAAAAAGTAGATTTAGCATTTAAAATATCATTATGCATTAAAGGTGCAAGCCAAACATATTATTACTTATCCCTCTTTTAGTGTCAAATATATATGATTGAAATTAGCATTTGCATTGGTGATGGTCATAGTAAGTAATAATCGTTTTACATCGCAATGGATGTGCTTATGCTAAGCAACTCCTTTGAGGAAAGTAATGAAATTCTAAATGCAGCGTAATGAGCTAACTCAAGAGGAAATTAGAGAGGGAAGCAGAAAAATCTAAATAATAATAATTGAAAAAAAGGACAAGTTACATCCTTTCATTTTGAACTTAAAACTCTTGCAACTTTTCTCCTTTTGTCAAATTATTGACAGAAAATGACACATGGCTTGCACGTGTTTTCATCTACAAAATGCTAAATACCCTGGTCCAAAAAAAAAAAAAAATATATATATATATATTGAATTAGTTTTATTTTGTCAAGTGTTTGACGCGAGTCTTATTTTTATAATGGATAGGCAACATGATCAAAATCAGATAATTTAGGATGCGTTTAGAATTGGTTCCAAAATGATTTTATTTTCTGTATGAAAATGAAAATGAAAACGTTTTCATTTTCATTTTGGAATCATTTCTGAAAATACGTTTGGTAGTTTTATTCTAAAATTATTTTCAGTTTTAAAAAAACTGAAATTGTGTTTGGTGGTTTAATTTCTGAAAACATGTAATAATATTTAAAATAATAATATATTAAATAAATAATAATATTAAATTATTAAATAAATATTATTATTAAATATATTAAATAATAATAATATTAAATTATTAAATAAATATTATTATTAAATATATTAAATAATAATAATATTAAATATATTAAATAAGTATATTAATATAACATTATATATGTTAGTCGAAGAAAAACGATAGTTGAAGAAGAATGGTGGGGTGGCGGCCTG